TTTTAGTCAGTTAATTTTTAATGAAAAAATCTGGACAACATATTCATTACTTTAGTAATGGCCTATGGTATTAAAGTCATAGTGACGTACTTATTACCTACCGGATAGGTAAATTGAATTATAACAAAATTTTATTTATGTAAGCGTTCTGTTAGAGCTTATTACGTTATTCATAGATGTAGGTACATTACTAATGCATTATATTGACATAAGTATTACCCACTAACCTGAGCCTAAATACGTCGATGAGAGGATTGTCCAATGGTCTTTGCTCGCCGGCTCCTCTCTTTTATATCGATATTGGACATGCTGCTGCTCTGCCACGACGTCTCTTCTCGCTGCATGCGGCCTTAAACCCAATTTCTCGGCTTTACTTTTCTCAACAATTCCTTTACTACACTTTTCGACTATTTCGAAAATTTATACACTCTTTTGTACTTTTAGAATGCTTTAATGGAATTTTTAAATTCAGAACTCAAAAATGTTTATCCGTTAAACATTTATTAATACTGAGTACGATGACGACCGCTATGTACGAAAGTACACAACGCTATGAGCTCCGCTAATGACATCGGGCGCCTCGTCCTAGCTGGCGATAAGGGTTGCCACAATACAGGGAGTACCAACCGTCATTGTTGACACCTGTCAACGGCGAATGACCGCGAAATTAAAAGTATATAACGCATCTTCATAAGCAATGCTGTATGTTTTCCAGAGGCATATAATATCAGGATTAAAGAGAGACTGTTGAATTCCAAAGCCAGATTTTGATCTTTCATTTGTTTTAAAAAGAAGAGCCAATAGCCCAATAGTTTAGGGAATACTAATCTAGTGGTTATGGGTTCAAAACCTACCTTTTACTATTGTTATGAACCATACTATAGCACAGGATTTGACTTATTTGGTTTCAAAAAATATTAAGTAAGTTAACAAAATTATCATTGAGAGCCCCCTCTATAAAGAGCTATCTCAATAGTATAGCTTTTGTTTTGAGAAGTCCATCCTAAGGGACTACTAATAACCATAAAATATTTTGAGTGCAGAAGCTAATATTATTTATTTGTAATAGGAGAGTGTTAGAAGTGGAGTCCATAAAGAACAGCTGATGAAGCAGGTCAGGGAACACCTAGAAGAAATGGGTCTGGATAAAAAAATGCATGTGATTAGATGGATGGGAATTGTGTTCCTTAAAATCTCTTTCATGATGAGAATTGGAATTTTCGTCAATGAAGCTGCGATTTTAAAGGTAGGATATTATTTATAATGTGTGAATTAAATTATATCTTCTTAACTATGCTGTCCTATAGTCTTAACTAGCTTTCTCCTGCTAACTTTGTCGGGGTTTATTTGTTCTTCCAGACTATGTATCACATCTGCATCAAATTTAATTGAGATCAGTTATTTTGAACAAAATAACAGCCATCAAACTTCCATCCATTAAAATTTTCGCAATAACACTGACATACAAACAGCAGTTTAGATAATTATATTTGGTATATTGATGTTATTTAACTCTCTTACTGAAAAATGTGAATTATCAAAGGTGTTTGACACAAAAAACAAATTCCGACGTTACACTATCCATTGATTTATTTTACCGAAAGTTAAAACTGTCGTAAAATGTATTGAAAAGTATTTTTATCTTTCACATCGATGTTTTTGTATATTTATTTTGACAGTGAAACTCACTATAATATTGTACTTTAGTACTGCCTGAGTTATTTTTAATTACATGTGTTTTATGCAGTTAAAAGAGCAAATGGGGACGAATCCTATAATATTTCTGCCGACACATCGCAGTTACGCAGACTTCTGCGTGTTGACATATTTATGCTACCACTACGATATTGAGTTGCCGGCAGTCGCCGCGGGAATGGGTATGTATTCATTTATACCGACTAAATGATAACCATAGAGCCTTAATACATACTAAATCTAGACTAAAGGACTTCCCTTAATGACCAGTAAAGATAAATGCGCATTTATTTAGATACGAATATAATTAAAAACAGTACAAAACAAAGTTAACTAGAATTACAATTAAAATACATGTTATTTATGTTAATATTCAAGATACGACTTATCCGAAGTAAATATAAAAATAAACATTAGTAGACCAAAGTGACGCACTTCAAACTTGCTAGTGTTTGTTCGTTTCACGTTAAATACAAGATTGCCTTGAACATATAACTGAGTATATCACATGCGACTACAAAAAGTTAAAACTACTCCGCAAAAAATCTATTTTAAATAAGTGTTCATTTCTATATTATTGTAAAAAAATTAACAAACCCACAAATAAGCCCACAAAAATATATCTATTCCCATCATTGTGGATATAGTATCTCTGGCTACCCCAATTTAATTATCGTAAAGTTATTTTTTCCTATTGGAATTATAAAATAGTGTGGTGGCCCACCTATCAAGGATTATCAGCTCCAATATCTACCTAAACCTTATCATTATGAATATTTGACCGATACGCTATCGATTAATGTCATACGCATGGGCGTTTTTGAAAATATGCACAATTATAATTATTGATATTGACCCCATAAATTAATATTCTTTATCTTGCACTCTTTTCTACGGAAGAATGAGACAATATGTACTCTTGTATACACTATCAATCGTCTTACTGAATTCACTCGTATTACCGGTTTTAGTATTACTATCGCCCTGGGCGAGATACAGCGCCCCATTTATAACCAACTTTGAGAGGGACTTATAGGTAATTCTGATACCTGTAGTCCCCCTATCTGTCTAGCGGCCTGGGGGCTCGCCCGTCCGAACCCTACCCTGACATCGGCACTGTTTAGCCCCTTCTTAATGTGCTGTCCAACGGCTCAAGGCATGATGTGAAGTGGCCTTAAAATTTAGGCCACATTACTTTAATCCCTAGGGATTTAGGGATCTAGATCTCTAAAACATTCCTGTCAAATGATTGACGAGTTATCAATAAAGTTAGCGTGGATTCAAATGTTACATGCAATTTTAATACATTTATGAAACTTACTAAGACGTGTAAAATAGTTTTTTTGTTACAATTTTTTACGTTGGAAAAATAAATTGACAATCTTACTTAAAAAGCAGCTATGTTTATCTTTAATTTACAATACGTACGATTTGTACAATTCTTCCATTATTATATCATACGTTTTATCGCTGTCATACTAATTGATTGTTATGATTGTTTCTTGTAAACCAGTGATTTTTTATTGTTTTTTTTTTTTAATTTCGTTGGTAGATAAATCTTTTTTTTTACTTTATAAGGTGGCAAACGATCAAGCGGCCACCTGAATCCGCCAAAATGACGAAGTGACCACTGCCCATAGACATTCGCAATAGCGGATGCCTTGCCTACTGATAATTGACGAAGGAAAATGCACATAAAGAGGGTATTTCTCTTCCTATGCGTCTCATCCAACGTCAAGTCTACATTCCCTCCCCATTGTTTTCTTATAAGAAAAAGAGTGGGGGAGGAAAAAAGACTAAAGTTGGGCATACTCGGAAATTTTTCTCTCTAACGTAAACAGAATAGGGTAGTTTACAGATAGGATATTCTATACACTATATACTGTTTTTTGGCAAAGTTTTCTCGTTTTACATTGCAAAAATATTATAACTAACAGTAATATTTTTTAGATTTCTACTCGATGGCGGTGGTCGGACAACGTATGCGGGAGACGGGAGCTTTCTACATCCGCCGCACGATGGTGGGGGCGCCACTGTACGCGGCCACGCTCAAGCAATACGTGCGCACGTTGGTCGCAAAGTACCACGCCCCTCTCGAGTTCTTTATAGAGGGTACTAGGAGTAGGAGCAATAAATCATTACCACCAAAGTATGGTAAGTTGATTAGCTGTCGCCCGCGATTCCGTACGTCCGGAATTAAAAAACTTTAGTAACCTATGTGTTCTTCTGTACTATGTTTAACATCTGTGCCAAATTTCAGCGAGATCCGTTCAGCCGTAGTAACAGACATCCATCTAAACATTCTACAAAACAAATCTACAAAAATATACCATTATTATCTACACTATTATTATTAAGAAGAAATATTTCAATGGCAGTTTATAAAAACAAATTCAAACGTTTTAAAGCGGGCGCACATCTTTAACTAAACTGTCGCACATCGTTGTGCGATTGTCGATTGTTGTGCTCATTCAATTGTTTAGTTGGACAACTAAATATCGAGTAGTGTGAGAAAAAAGTTTAAAGGAAGCAAAGCGAGTCTAAACAGTTATTTGATATAGTCAAAGGTGTGAGCGGTCTAAATATTTTTTTTAGAAGATAACAAATCTACATATTTATCATTCTTGTAACAATTGTGTAAAATAACGCTTCTATTATGTCATACGAGATTACTGAATATTATCACAATGAAGTCAAACATTTAATACGTTTTCTGTGGTACTGTGAATCTTTTAAGTAAATATCAACGTACTATTTGTACTTCAATGTCAAGATTTCTGATGGAATAATCATTTGTTTAACAATCGTAACCACTGTTAGGAAGAACTTATTTATTTTTCATTTTAAGCATATTATTGTTTAATACTTCTTATCTTCTAAACAGCTGTTTATCAAATCAAATATTTAAGATATAGATTATTACAATCTATTGTATCTATTAAATTACTTTAATATGATTAATAACATTTTTGTGTTACTAGCTTACGCCCGCGACTACGTCCGCGTGGTACTAAAAAAAAACCAAGTAGCCTATGTGTTCTTCCAAACTATGTCCTTTATCTATGCAAAAGTTCATCCAGATACGTTCAGCCGTTTAGACTACAAACTCTAACAAACATCCATCCATCTAAACTGTCGCATTTATAATATGCAAATGTGCTGTCGACGTAATTCAGACACGAAGTATGATTACTAGTTACCATCTGTAATAAAAAAATAAACACAATAGCCCATGTGTTTTTCCAAAGTCTGTTATATGCTAAAATAATAAAAAATCGTTAAGCCGTTCTACACGTAGTAACATTCTTGCAATTAAGCGTTCACATTTATAATATTAGTAAGATTCAGGTATCTGTCGAAAAAAAAGACCAATTTTCGTCACAAAAACAATCTTTACTGTCTTATGTGACTTATCTATATACATTGTATGTAAAATACAGATGTAAGATACAAAATACGCTTTTTGTATCTTGTATCTGTTTTTTGTACATTTTTTACATCGTAAGGTGGCAAACGAGCAAACGGTCACCTAAATCCGCCCGAATGACGAAGCGACCGCTGTCCATAGACATTCGCCATAGCAGATGCGTTGCCTATCCTTAATGGACGGAGGAGGAGACGCAAATAAGGTGGAAATTTTCCTTACCTATGAGTCTCCTCCAGCGTCAAGGGAAAAGGGACTAAAGTTGGGTCCCCGGTATATACATATATTGATACATCTCTGTTCATTGTACCGAAATATCTATAGGTAATTTTATTGTCAGGTATGTTATCGATGAGTCTGATGGGATACTTCGCGGGCGAAGTGTCAGACATAACTATCGTGCCTGTCAACTTCAGCTATGATCGCATCATGGAACAAGTATTGTTCGCGTATGAACACATCGGAGTGCCCAAGCCGAAGGAATCTACAGGCGTAAGTGAAATTTTAACTAAATAATTATAATAAACTACTTTCTGCCCGCGACTTCGACTGCAGGAGGTTTAAAGAAATAAAAGACTATATGATTTTCTAGACTCTGTTCTAGAGATGACTTTTATCTCTAGATGAAATTTAGCATAGATGTCATCTCTAGATGAAATTTAGCATAGATGTCATCTCTAGATGAAATTTAGCATAGATGTCGGATCTATCCGATAAGTAGTTTAAGAGTTATCTAAGAACATCCATCCATACATCTAAAGTTTTGTCTTTATAATGTTAATAAGATATTAACAACTTTTTTACAAGGTTCAAGCAGAACATACATTTTCATCACAATCTAAAAAAATTGATACATGCTCTTATGTGTATTTACTTTCAGGGTTTTTTAAAATCGCTCCGCAGTTTGAACGATCACTTCGGCAATATATACGTAAACTTCGGTACGCAGATATCTCTGAAGGAATTCTTGAAGGGTACAAACTTAGTAACAAACGAGAGTTTAAAACCAGCGAGTCTTCAGCAATTGACAACTGAACAATTATCCCAAGTACGGGACATAGCAGATGAAGTCGTAGTATTGCAGCAAAACAGCGCTGTAGCGACAATATCGAATCTACTAGCGTTTGTCCTAATGGATAGCTTAATGAAGTGTGAAGTGCTTGATTATGAATGTCTTTTGCTTGAAGTTGAATGGATGATGGAAGTGTTAAGCGGATTAGGAGCGTCGGTTTATGAAAAAGATATAAAAAATAGTGTGGATAGGATATTAGTGGTACATCATAAGATGGTGGCGTTGGACAGGGAGAGGCGACTGCGGCTACTGACTGGTGATCTAATGAAAGTATCTGATGACGTCACGGCTAAAATGAAAGGTACTGTACATCATATATAGTTGTCTCTGTTTTATGTATGAGAATATGAGATGTCAATATATCTGTCACTTCTGCGGATATCCACAGTTATAAGACACTAGCTTTCTCCCGCGACCCGCGAATTAAAAAAATGAGTAGCCTATGTTTTCTTCCAGATTATCCTCTACATCTATGACAAATTTCATTGTGTTTCGTTCAGCAGTTTAGGCTACAAACTTTAACAAACATCCATCCGTCTAAACTTTCGCATTCATATTAGTAAGATGGATATCAGACCTGGAACACAAACTAAAAATAGCACACTAGCGCCCTCCTATTTCTAGTGTGATGAGAGTTTCCTACTGTAGCTATGGCTTTTTCTTTTTGTAGATATAGATATTGAATATTTCCTGACAGCTAACCTCGAGAAGCGCCTCACCGGGCCAGATATCATTGTCTGACTATAGACCCGTTTGTAATTCGAAACAACACTTGTGATAATTAACATATCTACGCGTGTTACAAGAAATTCTAATTTTAATTATTCGGCATTAATACATAAATTATGATACCATATGTTTTTTTACAAAGATTAAGGCTTTTTAACGTTTTAGTATTTTAAATTCAAGTAAACATATTTCAATATTTCCGACATTTCTTTCATAATCAGTTTATGAAAATCAATGCACTTTATTTTACTGCAATTTATATAAAACTAGCACTCGCCGCGACTCCGTCCGCATGAAATAAGAAAAACTGAATAGCCTATGTGTTCTTCCAGATTATCCTCTACATCTGTACCAAATTTGAACAAAATCGGTTCAGCCGTTTAGGCTACAAACTCTAGCAAAAATCCATCCATCTAATTTTCACATTTATAATATTTGTATGAAGTATGATTGAACTTGGGTAGCATTTATAAATATATTTCCAGGGCACATTTTGAAGGCAGAGACGATGATGACCGCATTACCTGTCATACAATTGCAAATATACATAAACCCAATGCTACATTATATCGTGACTCCAGCACTAGTATACGTTCTTGTTAAACGCGGACCAACTAATAAAGGTAATACCAGAAATTTTGTACCAAGATACACGACTGATAATACTCCTATTGGAATGACATATTATACTTCAAAATCGAGTTTTTAAGGCGTTTAACTTGATAGTAAAAAGAACCCGCCATATTGCGGAAAAATATGGAACTAATTCCTTTGCGTATATTAGAAATTAAAAAAAAAGAAGGTGATTGAATCGCCATTATACTGTTTTTTATATTGTTAATTAATGCATAATTAAATAAAACTTTTTAAATACATAACCCACCTGTTCGTTAAAATAACTTGAGTAATCTTGATTCATAATGTTACAACAAGCATTCCAATAATAATAATAATGTTTTCAGACGGAATGTTAATAAAATTAATAATAGTAAGTCAATAAAATGTATGTAATATTAATAAAATATTGATTCCAGACACACTGGCAAATGATTATCATCGGTTGAGAAAATTGCTAAAACACGAATTCTTTTACGTCGCTAGAACTGAGAAAGAAGTAAGTATTTTTTATTATAATAACTAATTTAAACTCCATTAACACGACTTACATGGGAACGACAATTCCTTCAACTGACACTTTAATGAAATATTTTCTATCTCTGTTTTTACAAAGAAAATTTGAGAGATAACGATATATGTGAGTGGAGACTGTACCACTTTTTAAAAGAAATTGGGTCGCAGGATGAACCAAATGTAAAGTTAATTTTTAGTACAGAAAGCTATTTTTACTAAAAAAAAAAACCTTTACTAATTGCTGTCTAATTTATAATAATACACTACTAGTATTTTAATGAAATTTAAAAAATATGTGTTACATAAATAAATAATTTGAGCTCAGCTAAGAGGAATTATGATTTTATGTAATCTATTGTTTTCATAAGTCATGTCTTAAGAAACAATGGAGTATTTTTATTTGATTAATGTTTGTTTTTGTAATTAGCTAGTTTCCTGTGACTTTATATCAACTGATATGAAGTAATGATGCACTTGCACTTTTAATTATTATTGTCTTTAAGTTAATTGGCTTGCTACCATCCACAGATAATATAAATCACTAGCTGTTGCTCGCGAATTCGTCCGCGTTAAATTACCAACTAGTAATAATGTAGCATATGTTATTCACGAATAATGAAGCTTTTTTGGAATTGAAATGAAGGAATTTTTAAAATCAGTAGTTTTTGAGTTATATCAATATATTCAAAATACAATTCTTTCCTCTTTATAATATTAGTATAGCTAAGCACTGAGCTCTATAAATGGACAGGCTACGTAATACGTGGTATTTTGTGAGTATTTGATATCCGCCATTTTGGCGCTGACGGTCGCGGTTGGTGGCGGTGGTGAAAATTCGAACTAATAGAGATAGAATTGACTGTCATTTAACATCAATAAATGCATTTTAATGACCTTTCTATTTATACAGATTAAAGAAATAACAGTTTTGACGTGATATATTTTAGATATTCAATAAAGCCATAGATTATTGCACGACACAAGGTGTAATAGTTAACAAGGAGGGTACAATGTCTGCGGGCGACGCTCACAGACTGCAGTTCTTGTTGGAGTGGGCCTTGCTGCCGTTCCTCACCACGCTAAAGCTGTGTATGGATGTTATGACTGAGGTAAACTAGCTATTATGTGTATAGGCTTAAGGTGGAATGTGGCTTGTGGTATGTGATGATTGATCTCTTTTTATAATCAAATAACTATCTTAAGCTTGCGACTATGTCCGCGCGGAATTAAACCAACTTTGCATGTGTGTTCTTCCAGACTATGTTCTACATGTGTACAAATTAATCGAAATTCGTTAAGCAGTTTAGTCTACATAGTTTAAGAAATATTTACCTATCCATCCGTAGTATCCCTTAAAGCCTATGTCTAGATATGCTCTCGAAGACGAAACTCCATAAAGTTTGAATCTGATAATACATGATCTATCTATGAAGATCTAATATATGAAGATCTTAAATTTGCAATTACCTTGCTATAGCTCGCAATTTCACGTGAAATAATACATATAGCCTATGTTACTTAGAGATAACGTAGTTTTTTAATGATGAAAGAATGATTAAAATCGGCTTGATGGTTTTTGAGTTTTTTCAATACATACAAAAAAAAACAAAAATACACATTTTTCTACTATAATATTAGTATAGAAGGTATTAGATAAGAGGTGAGTTTCAGAAGAAGCGTTGCGAGCACGCGCAGGTGCTGAAGCGCGTGCAGGCGGCGGCGGAGCGCGCGGCGCAGCACCCCTACTGCCTCAGCCTGGAGTGCGCCGCCAGCGGGTTGCGCGGCCTGCTCGCCGCCGCCGCGCTGCGCACACACAAAACGTTAGTTATTGTATATCTATAGCATAAATGCTTTCTCAGCAGCTGAATTTAAAAAAAAAACTTTTTGTTTATGCCCTATTACTATCTCTATTTATGTCCCAAGTTTCATCCAGATTTGTTTAGACGGATAGTTACGTTGTAACTAAAATACCTTTGCACTTTTAAATTTATGATATTAGTAAAATTTATCTTAAATTACGTTTGATTGAACTTTCATACAGTGAAAATGACGCTTAATATGTGAAAATTGAGTGGTATTTTTTTTAATCTACGCCTTATATTTACTTGATCATACCTCTCGCTGAGATTTCTGCTTTAGTGACTATTTAATAACAGGGTACATAGCACGAAAATTTGTCCGTGACGTCACGAATACTTTGTCACAAATTTTCGTGCCAGTGCAGTTATATAATAAAACTAATTTACAATTTTGTTTTCTAGGGGTTCGGAAAATGTTTACGAAGTGGTGCCGCCGGCAATGGAGGGTTGTCGTCAACTAGTCAATTCAGTGTTGTCTGAAATAAACGCGGTTTGGGGTAGAAACAACCCCGTACTGCTGCACGCGCCCCTCCCCTCGCGGCTCTAGTGGTTACTTTTAGTTGCAGCTTGTTTCTGTGTTATTGCGTATTTATTACAATGGTATAGCCATTTTGAAGGAAAGTGAATTATTATTAAGTCAAATGAGTTATTCAACGTAGGCAGTGTGATTGTTTTAAAATAGAAAATATAAGATAATGTTAATTTAGAATAGAAAAGCTGAGATTTTTAATGTATTAACTACCAGGCTCAAGACATAGTTTTATAAGCGCTAATTAAATATTTTTTTTTAATGATTACAGTAGTAATTTTTTAATTGTTATCAGTATTCAGTTATTCCAAGCAAATTTATTTTACTTGCAGTTATTTAACAGTATTAAAATGTTATGTTCCATTTTGTTGAAATAAAATAAATAAGATTTTATGTAATTTTCAAATATGATTTGATGGAATTCATGAATAAGATTTTCATTTATGCATTTACGAAAATGAACAAATTTGTATAAAGGCAATAGAATTTCTATAAAATTGTAATATTGCTGTGGTAATTGAAGTGACATTCAAATGTTTGCTGTTGTCATAAAATATCTGTGAATTTTTATTCTATTAAATAAAGACTCGAGAAGGCCATGTCGTTGAGAAATTAGAATTAAACTTTAGATAAAGTTAAATTTCAATAGGAATTCAATATTTTTCAATAGGAAAAAATTGTTCAAAGTATAGCTATTGAAGAATAAATTTTGCTACATTCGTTATTTTAAACAATTGAAACTGAAATATAATTTCATCAATATTTTTCATTATATTAATAAAAAAATTCAAAAATAGTTGAGTTCCTATAACTTGTTACAATTTGCCATTTTATGATTGCTGTTGAATAGTTTTTGTATTTTCAATTTGCCAAATATTTAGTATTGGGACTGTGATAAGTTTGTTTTTGTCGTTTTTGTTATTGCGCTTTTCATAATCTGCGTACAAAATACAAATAAAACTTGTATAATATACAGTTATCAGCAAAAACGTATTTTTATTTCAAACTATAGACTCCACATCTTTAAACCTAGAAATCTTACTTTCTTACTAAAATTATAAATGCGAAAGTCTAGTGATTCTCAACCAGTGTGCCGCGGCACTTTTGTGTGCCGATAAATTTTGCATATTTTTGTCAAACTATTTATGCAGTGTCTTGTAAGTAAATAATTCTTATCTTTTTCTTCGTGTGCCAAATTTTGTAATCGTTAAATAACAACAACAATAAGCAACAAAAATAAGGTTGAGAATCACTGGTCTAGATGGATGAACGTGTGAGTTTGTAGCCTTAACGGCTAAACTGATTTCGATGAAATTTGGCATAGACCTCGATGATAGTCTGAAGGAACACATAGGCTACTCGCTTTTATTTTTTTTTATTCATTCCACGCGAACTAGAAGGTTTAAATAAAAACTCATATTGATAAATAAAACACTTTATTTACACACATCACAATAACTTATTGTGCTAGTAAATTAATAATTTTACGTTGACATAAAATAAACAATTGATATTAAAACAAGTAGAAATTTGACACTTGATGTCACCAACTCAGTCATTAAATGGTCAATTGAGAGATCCTTAGAGAAAAATCTAAACTAAGAGACTACTTAAGAGGCCATTAAACTATGTAAGTGGTAGTAAACATTTTTTAATTATTTTTTTTTTCTAAAATGGCTGATCGTTATACGGCAACACTGAGATCAATATGCGTTATAAATGTGGCCAGTCACAAGTCATAATATACATAATCGTATTAAAATCTTTACAATATTTACATAAATGACTATATTCTAATAAACTGAAGATGCTAGGACCAAAGAGTTACAAAGTCATTAGAAGGGACAACTCTAATGAAATCAAAATTTGTATTGATTTGTGAAGTGTCCCTACCGGGCGTAAAGTACACCAACAAATCTCATAGAAATTTCGTTTTTGATGTTAGGAATATGTTCTCGCAAAAGACTATCCCATATATAATATTAAAATAGACAAAATGCATTTTGACTTGACTATAGCAAAAAAATGAACAAAGTGTTACACTAAACAAAACTAAAAATATGGGCTATCTATTTCTTACTTAAAAGTTTAACTTTGCACAATATGAAAATCTTAAGCAATACAGTATTTTGCATTGTTATTCTATTGTGAACTATATTTAAGTATTTTGTGCTGTTTCACTTAAATATTGTTTCATATATAAAAAACATAAAATAAAATAGTTACAGTAAAATCACACCAAAACAAAAAAAAAATGAAAAATTAAATTAATGAAATATACAGGGCGCGGCTGTGCCCCCACCAAATTAAAAACTGAATCTCACCAGTTATAGTTTAAAAAACACCAAAAGAGATCGAAATTACTATTTTTAACAAATATTTTTTTTATCTTCATGATGGTTCTTTTAAGCGAATGAACTCTTACATTTTGCGATTGTATATATTTTTAAATAGATATTTACGTAAACAATATTTTTATTTTGTTTAAAATCATAACTACATCCAAAATACAGTCTTAACTAGTATTATATCAAATTATATGCAATCGAGTTACTGCAAATATTAATCACAAAATTATTATTTTCTAGCATCTTTACTTTACTGTAGATATTATTATAATGATTTGAAAATTATTGAGTATTTTATTGTAAAAAATGTAAGTTGGTTGAAAAGGTTGAATGGGTGTAATAAACTATTTTAATAAATGTAGTTGACATTTAATTTACATAAAAAAGATTGCAAAAGCAATGAGACCCTAGCGGCCGAATCTGACACTAATTTATAATAGATTTGGAATTTAATCGTGCATCAAATGATGTTGTTATTTCAATGTCGTTTCAGTATTCGGCCGTTTAAAAATATTTTTGGATAAATTATGAGTTGTGTTGAGTCAGCACCCTCAGGCTCGTTGGAGAGTCTGATTGATGAAGACGGAGCGTATCTCCATGGGGCAGAGTGTGAGCGCTGCGGCGGGCAGGGCGCCGCGCGCGCGCACCCACGTCAGCGAGCTCTCCAACACGCGCTCCGCAGACACCTCCAACATGTCTGAGAGACGGAGCTGGAAATATAAGGTGGGTTTACATTGACTTAACATTTGCATTCATATGTTACAGCTGTAGCAGTCAGGTGATAAATGAAAAAGTTCTTTTAATTACTAGATTTGTTTACAAACAAATAAATCCATAGAAATGGTCGTTTGCCGGTTTTTTTTACCTGTAAAAAAACGGTGGGTTTACACTGATTAAAAATTTGTATTTCTGTTACAGCTGAGAAATCACCCAGATAAATGAAAAAGTTCTATTAATGTCTAGATTTAGTTTTTTTATTATCGCGTCAAATTAATAAAAGCAAAAATAAGTAGCTTATGTGCTCATCCAGACTTTTCTCGACATGTATTTTAAATTTCATAGCGATTAGTTGAGAAGTTTAGGTTACTTGTTGTAACCTAAACTGCTAAACGGATCTCAATGAAATTTCGCATAGACGTAGAGCATAATCTGGATTAACACATAGGCATACTCACTTTTGTTTTTTTCAATTCCACGTGGACGGAGTTGTGGGCGAAAGTTAGTTTATAAAATTAATACGATTTTTTCACGTACTTCGGGAGTGAAATCGTATTTATGACTTAAACTAGCTTTCGCCCGCGACTCCGTCCGAATGGAATTAAAAAAAACTTAAGTAGCCTATGTGTTATTCCAGGCTATTCTCTCCATCTATGACAAATTTCAATGAAATCCGTTCAACCGTTAAGGCTACAAACTCTAACAGCCATCTATCTAAATTTTCGCATTATATTCCATTCCAAATCTAATATTAGTATGAAAGTAAGATTTGACAAGTTTAAGGTACAAAGCAGTCGTCACCTGTCCGTCTCCGACAGGGTAGGCGGCGGCGAGGGCGCTGCTGCCGTAGCAGAGGTCGAGGTGCACTCGCTGCAGGGTGACGCCCATGCCGTGCAGCGCGCGCCCCTCCTTGTCCTGTACACATTGGATTACAAATTACATTAACACCTGTATTATTATTGTTTTTTCCTTTTTAATTACTTTGTTATGTTTTTTTCTCTTATTCCAAACTGTGTTGTAGTGGTGATAAGATTAAATGTTATTTTATTTTATTTATTTATTTTAATATATTGTGTGTATTTAATATGAAAAAGGTTCAGTTTAAATACACATGTTTGTATCAATTTAAACTAGGTTTAATTACAATCACATCATAACCATTACAGATATTTTTAGGCAGATTTGTTATAAGTCTACCAATTGTTTTCAATTATACTCAAATATATCTGTACATAACACAATAAGCAAATAATTTGAAGAAGGAATAAAAATATGGAAAGTTTAACTTAGATAACTGGATCAAAAATCAAAGTGTCCATTTTTAAATTTTGTAAAAATAAAATGAGTGACTTAGTGCACGCAGAATCACCAATTATACACTACTAGTTTTCGGCCGCGACTTCGTCGGCGTGGGATTAAAAAAAACTAAAGTCAGTAGCCTATGTGTTTTTTGAGAGTATCCTCCATATCTATATCAAATTTCATCGAGATCCGTTCAGCCGTTTAGGCTACAAACTCTAACAAACATCCATCCATGTAAACTTTCGCATTTATAATATTACTATGATTTAGTAAAGTATATTAGTATAGTTTACCTTGGCGGTGACGTGAGCGTTGAATGCGGCGAGCACTATGTCTGCGGCGTTGACAACGGAGCGCGAGTAGGCGGGACGCGGCGTGTTCTCGTCCGCGGCGTGGTGCAGGCGCAGCAGCGGCTGCTGCAGCAGCTGCTGCGACACGTGCGCGCCCAGCGACAGCTGCCCGCTCACTGCGCCTGATGTACGCTGACAGGAGAAACAATTGTCATCAACTTTTGAAAATTGACAATCGATTATCGATTGTTTTTAGCCAATTCAACTGTTTAGTTACACAACTATAAATCGAATAATTTGCGCACCTCCATATAAGCTCATAGCAATCAAAGCGAAACTAAACAGTTGTGCGATAGTATAGTGCGCGCACTCTAAATAGAATCCTAGCATGAAAAAGTGAAACCATAGGATAAGACATTTCAATCCAATAAATATGAAGTCTTTCGACTAACATCAGGTAATATTGGGTGATTTATGACATTTTCTTGTAGGCGTGGTACTTAGGTATTTCAACAAAATAGTTGTCTTGATAATTAGTGTAGTCGTAATCCTCAATATCACAATTCATATTTCCACTAAATAATTATAGATCATAACGATATGTTTCGATTAAGATATTGAATTGACGTCCACCGAACACATGGTCGCGCGCGCATTCCATCGCGACTCAAATGGAACTGACTCGATTAACAAAATGGCCGCCCTACCAGTGCTCGGTGTTCGCCATGGGCATAGAGTAAGCCTACAAATATGTTTAATATAATAATTGCTGTTTCCGGCTTCAAAAACTTCATTTTATTTTATTGGTGACATGTGTAAAAACTTTTAATGGCAAATATCAAAATTCAAATGTATACGACAACGAAGGGCTTTGCTTTGGCTTAACAGGAAGATACTTTGAGCTACTGCGTATGTTGTTGCGATAGCGAGAGAGAGAGAGAGAGAGAGAGAGAGAGAGAGAGAGAGAGATAGAGAGAGAGAGAGAGAGAGAGATAGAGAGAGAAGGGTGTGGTATATACCTGGCAAGGCACGGCATGCTCCACGATCAGCCTGAAGGTGTGTCGCGTGCGCACGTTGTCGAGCACGCCCTGGTTCATGCCGCGGTTGTCGTCTCTCGTCAGACGTCGGTCTTGCATCACCTGCAATCATACTAATATTATAAATACGAAAGTTTAGATGGATGGATGTTTGTTAATTTGTAGCCTAAACAGCTGAACGAATTCCGATGAAATTTGGTATAGATGGGGAGGATAGACTGGAAGAACACATAAGCTACTAACTTTTGTTTTTTTAAATCTACTCGGACGAAAGCAAGTCTCTTATAACATTTTATTACAAACAGAACAAACATCTATATTTGTTTGATATTTTGATATTTGTATCGACGCTAAATTCAATTGGTAAATTACATAACTCAATGTGCATTTAAAGTCAAATAGAAACAGGATTGTAGTAAGAAATGAACAAAAAATTCTGAGGTATGAATTTGTCTTATATTGGACAAAAAAAATCAACATGACCCCACGACCGTCCCAAAAGGGTAGACAGAGACCACGGGCCTCCTTTTGCGAATCTTATACACTACTCTTGCTCATTGGCTAGCTTCTTCAAATGTAGAATAACGATAAATGAAGAGTGTAATGAATGGTGAATGACGCTTGTATAAACAAGTAATGAGTGTATGAGTGAATGATGAGTGATGAATGACCTCGATCTGTCCCGGCTGCAACGCAGCGAAGCCGAGCGCGGTGGAGGTGAGCAGAGTGAGCCTGGTGTGGTCATCCTCTATGTAGGCGGCGGCCGGCAGCGGGTAGAAGTTGGCTTGTAGCGGTAACTTCTCAAAGTAACGACGTTTAATCATCTTTGGAACAAACAAATTATATTAACAAAAATAATATAGCTTCGCTTCGTAAACATCAGAACTTCAAATTTAATGGAATTTTAAGTTTAAGCGCGGGCTTATTTAAAATACTGTTATATTTTTAAATGTCGTTTCAGTAAGAAACTCTGTTCACTATGAAGGTCACAACTTAAGATTTACTTATTTATTTTATATAGGAAGTCAATGTATAGCATGAAACAAATAAAGTTATATAAAAAAAATAACAAAAAAAAACACATCATCATGGATACACTTACAGGCTAACGCAACATTTTCATCATTAGAAGCAAACAGAGACATAAATACAATTTAACATATTGTTTTGAGTAAAATAATTGTTACAAATACCTGCATTCCGTTAAGATCAGTATAGAAGACGTCGCCATTCTTGATGCCAGTAGAGAACCTCATAGCGAGCTCGTAGTCATCCGCCTGCGGGTCGATCAGGAACGTATTGCATATCTCCACCTCGCCTTGAGGCAGCGACGGGTTGTTGTACACCGATATCTGAAACATGTATACTAAATATAGCTGTTTAGTCACCCTCTAATTGTCATAGCGTGATGATATATAGCCTATAACCTACATTATTACATGGTCTAACAAATGTAAAGGGATTTTTACAAGTTGGATTGTTAATGAATAAGATTAGCGGTAACAAACTTTTATTTTACAACTGACGCATTAACTCTTAATGCTAACTTAGTCATTGAGGAACAACTTAATGATTCTGCAAACGGCAGTAATGAAGAGAAAAATTATCTATATTTATACTGAGAAGTAACCTCCAATAGTCATTCAGTTATTCTATTCTGTAGAAGTATTTTTCATTCATTCCATTCACTGACCGCTAACATGACTTCCGCAGCCTTGGGGCTGACGAGGGCGGTGTAGAGGGTGGCCTTGAAGGGTCCCTCCGTGACTACAATCTCGGGGTAGGGCTCCGGCGCGAAGGGCTCCGCGGGGCCAGACGGGATGAATAGATACGCCCCGCTGTTGTTGTCCAATGTCCGCTGACTGTCGTAACTAGAAAAACGACAATCGTTTTAAAAAATAATAAACTTAAAAACAATTAATGAGAAAGTATTATTTTAAACAAAAACAATCTTTAATTTGCCCTTGATCTATATTAGATTTACTACCCATTTCAATTTATGGTATTCAAAATAAAAAAAAATCATGCATTTAAGGGTAAGTCGTTTAAAGTATACACACAATACACTTAGGAACATCCTTAACGTTTCTGAGTGCTGTACTTACTGAGCGAAGTCCATATGCACCGGCACAGTGGTGCCGGCTGGCGGGACGATGGCTTTGATGAGACCGTTCATATTGGTGACCACTCGAGTGCTGTCACCAGCTCGGAAGGTGACATCCTCCGCCAGCCTCTCCGTCGGCTGCTCCACTGCGAACATCTTGGGCAGGTCCACGTTCCAGTAGTCGGCATTGTAGATACGCACTTTGGAGAATGATGTATACCTAGTTGGGAAATAAATTTACATTTTTAACTGTCTCCATAACTATAGATAATGCATCCATAGGTATCTATAGGTTTGCTTGTATACCAGTTTCTATTATAATAAAATAATATGCCCCTTCAAGTTAGAATCGAGTTTCTTATAAACAAATTTATTAATTTACAACTTTAACCTAAGTGTAATCTAAGTTTGTCAACTTATTTTAATTAAATCTAAGTTATATTTCAGTTTCTTTCGTCGTAGTTCGTAGTTTCAGTTTGAAATTAATTTAAAAAATAATATACTAACTTGTTGATACTCATGCTGTCTCTGAGTGAGACGGAGTAGACTGTGAGTGCGAGGGGGTCGACAGTAACAGGGAAGGAGAGCTGGAACTTGTTGGCGGCGAACCCGAGGCGGCGCTCGCCCGACACCACCGGAGATATTTGAGCCATTATAGGGTTGCCTTCGGGGTCAAATACCTGATCAAATTTAAAAATGTTAAGGGAAAAATATGTATTTATAGTTAACTAGTTTTTGCTCGCGACTTCGTCCTCGTTAAGTTGGGAAATAATAAAAACTATATATAATATAATTGAAATCGGCCCAGAAGAGTTTTTGAGTTATTTCAATACATACAAATATACAAATCTTTCCTTTTCATGATATTCGTATAAATAGAATGACGTAAGTAACATCACACCCGTCTTTCTTTGCACCATGATCTTTATTACGTCTATCGGACTATCCAATTAAACTGTTTCATTCATTCTAGCTCGCATCATTCACCAATCTCGTGGTCATTCACTCACCTCAACATGCGGAGTAGAGACGAGCAGAGTGACAATCTCCTGTCTTCTAAACGCCAGTGCATTGTAAAAGACCACTCTTCGTGATGGAGACATAGCATCTAAAGCTATGGTGATGCGAGACGGTATTTCGTCGTGTTTCCGCCAAATGTCGTCCACATCGAAGTACACGTCTTCTTGCGTCTGCTCCAATATCGCTGGTTGTTTGAGCAAGTAATAAGCCGCTTGTTGGATTGCAGACTGACTGTATTTTATAGCTTGTAGCATTCTGGAATATTAGGTTAGTATTAAGTTTTTGGTTATGAAACCTATATTCCTTTATGCAACGAAATTAAGCAGAGAACCAATAAAAACATTGCAATGTTTCTTTTTTTTTTGTTGTTTTACATTAAATTGTGATATTAAGTGAAGAGAAGAATAACAAGACTAGGTAATGTTACATAATTATTTGTGAATTGTTTGGAATTTACTAATTTTACGAGAGTGCGAGCACTTAGCTTGAGGTTATCATCCTAATATAGATAGGAATGGAACCATAGGCTTTACTAACTGATTATCTAGGCTAGGTCTAAGTAAAGGGGCAGCTATTTTTGGATTTATTTTATGCAATTTTTATATGTACGTTTTTCGATTGTCTAGAAGGGGCAGATGCCCCCTATACTCCCAAATAAGAAAAAGGAATGACTGAATGACTTCCGATAGTGTGCAGTATGAGGCAGGTGGCCCGTATACCCCCAAACAAAAAGAATGAATGACTGAATGATTTGATAGTGTGCAGTGTGGGTGTACAGGTGTAATGTGTGGCAGCGAGTACTAACTTTTTAGCGTAGTCCTCGCGCACCTCGTCGCGGGAGGTGCCGGTGACGCCGTCGTGGTGCTGGAAGAGCGCGAGCGCGCGGCGCGCCTGCTCCACGCGGTCGCGCAGCTGCAGCGACACTATGTAGCTCACCGCCTGGCTCGAGCACGCCTGACCTGTTATTATCTCTGCCGCCCTGGTAACACACCTCTATCTTACTAATATTGTAAACGAGCTGTTGCCCGCAACGTCGTTCGCGTGGTATTAGAAAACATACGAACTATATAAATAACAAAAAGCTACGTATCCCTGGGGAACCGGACATTTCTAGGGGATGAACCTTATTCCATGTGTACTCCAGAATTTGTTTTATAGCTGTGCCAAATTTCAATAAGATATGTTGAACCGTTGCAGAATGATCGAGTAAACATTAAAAAACTAAATTAATGAATCCCACGGGAACCGTAACTATTCCCGGGATAGAAGTAGCCTATATGTTCTTCCATACTCTGCTCTACATCTATGCCAAATTTCATCGAGATCCGTTCAGCCGTTTAGGCTACAAACTCTAACAAACATCCATCCATCCATCCATCTAAACTTTGGCATTTATAATTTTAGTAAGATGTGCAAGTTTACATGGATGGATGGATGTAGAGTTTGTGTCTTAAACTGTTGAATGGATCTATATGAATATAAACTAGCTGTTCTCGTGCGGCTTCATCCACATAAAATTATAAAAACTTTATTTTATTATTTACATTTGTCAAATTCTCTATTACAAATGTCATAGTTACCGTTACCATAATAACCTTGGTTCCTTGATGTTGGCTACTTGTAACTTATGGTCTCTTTGTGACATTGAGGTTTATTGGTAGTTTGCAGTAGATTTCTTTTTTTTTAGATTGAATAAGCCGAACCAAAACGCTAGCTATTTTTTAAGGAATAACAAAATAATTATACTTTGATAAGAGCATTTAGATATAGTTTATAAGAATGGAACATGTAAACATTCAGTATACCTGACATATGCCATGAGCACTCTATCCATGTTCTTGTAGAAGGGGCGGGAGGTGTAGTAGCCGCTCCAGTAGTGCTGGTTCCTGTCCGCGTATGTGAAGAAGTCCCCGGACAGCACGGGGAAGTCCGACATCTTCACTTCCTCGTGCACCGCCTTGAAGTAATCTTCAAGTGTACCAAATTGCACCTGAATGTGGTATTGGATTGTTTGGGGTGATATTGATAAGAATAAAATGGCCGAAACATAAAGGACTGATATTAGATTTTAATAAAAATATATTTATGAAGATATTTCATATTTGTAAACTATCAAATTGACATAATATGACTAAAAGCTTGCCTTTTTTTAAATACTATCTAATTATTTATTTTAACACTGAGACTGCATTAGCGACCATTTATCAACTTTATGTTGTTGTAGTCTATACACACTTCTATACTAATATTATAAAGAGAAAAGATTTGCATTTTCAGATTTTAGTGTACATTGGATCAACTCAAAAATTACTGGGCCGATTCCAAAAATTCTTTCACAATTAAAAAAGCTACTTTATCGGTGAGTAGCATGTATTTCATATTTTTACACTATTTTTTAAAATTCCACGTAGACTATACCAGAAGTAAAAGCTATTGTAGTATAAAATGTTATGTTTTCAAATATTGTAACTTATACCTCAGCATTCCAAGAATCCTTGTTATTAATATAGTCAATAATAGCCTCGTAGTTTTGATACTGATTGTCCCATTCGTTTGCGCGGTCGTAGCGGAAGTCGTCTCCCAATGGGAACATTAACACGTTGCTGCGGTACAACTGGGCCTTCTTACGCCATTGGTCCAATATTAAAAAGGCCCTGAAAATAATGCAAACAGCAACATTCTATCACGATATATTACTTTATTATTAGGCTCTTAGGGCCTGTCCCACTACTGGCTGAAATAGGGTCAGATAGCTTAAAAATGACGACTGTCAGATAAGGAAAGAAAATCCGATATTTCCATCACATTTAAATGATTGTTATGAGACAATTTACAATGTGGTGGGATAGGCCCTCAGGTCAATATATGGTTACATGATTATATTACATTACCTTTCAGCAACATTTTTCTGGATAATTTTCCTAGGGGCTATACCCCAAGGACATGTCACTCCATTGCCTGGCAATCTTTTGAAATCAAACTGACAACATACCTGAAATATATTTTATGAGTTACAAGTAGCACGTTATCTTTTACATTGTTATTTACTATCCTACTTCCTGGCAAAAAGTTACGAGTAGGTGTTTGATAGGAACTACATTGACTATCTTACTTCTGCAAAAAGTTTGCATTAAGTAAGTTAAGAAATTAATTTTGTCTATTTATTTGTTTAGCTTTCGCCTGCAACTCCGTCAAAAAAAAACAAAAGTTAGTAGCCTATGTGTTCTTCCAGACTATACCCTATGTCTATGCCAAATTTCATTCAAATCAGTTCAGCAGTTTGGGCTACAAACTCTAACAAACATTCATCCTGACTTTTGCATTTATAATCTTAGTATGATGAGTTACTATTATTATTATTCCATATATCATTAGTCGCTTATTTACTACATAATATATTTTAGACAATTTATATAAATATACAAATGAATATAAAACATTTTATGTAAAAAATAGAATTATTATTATTATAAGTGTACCTTAGGATCAGGTCCACAAGAATGAGGTATATCGTAAGAATAGAAAGGCATCAAGTGTGTAAACATATCAGTTTTACCATTACCATCTGAAACAAAGTTATTATTGACATCATCATCTCCCCTGCCTTATCCTACTCCCGTAGGGTCGGCGCACCAGGTTTTCGTCCTCCAAAGCACTCTATCATCCGTCATCTCAGTTATCACTTCCTTCATGATCAAAGTTATTATTGACATATTAAATAAAAAATATGTCAACTTAACATCTTATTTAAAATAATAATCTGGTGAAAAACTATAAACTACAAAATATGAACTAATCAAATCAATATTTTCAATAAAATTAAATCATTTAACATATTAAGTACCAACGGCAGCCTCAATTATTTCACTCCCATAAATAAAAACTCTAGTAGCATATAATGTTTTTTTTTTATAACATAAGGTGGCAAACGAGCAAGCAGCCTGAATCCACCGAAATGGAAAGCGACCGCTGCCCATAGACATCCACAATTGCAGATGCGTTGCCTACCCTTCATTGACGGTAGAGGAGACGCACATAAAGAGGAATGTGTTACTTTAACAGTGGTAGAGCCCGCAATAGTATTTGTTGCACAATGCACAAGCTTATACTATACCAAGACCACACAGACAACAGACATGAAGTGCAAGCTATTCTGAGTACAGTCTGATAAGTCCACTTTCCCTTCCAACTTTTTACTTATAAGAAAATGATGCGGTATGGGAAGTGTATAGGAAGGAAGAGGAGACACTGAAAGTGGTATATCCCCTTGCTATATCCCCTATTTGGCAATTAAAGCTAGGCAAACGATCTTCACTATATATATATATAGTGAAGATATATATAAGATATATATATATATATATATATATATTTATGGGCAACAGTTGCTTTGCTATTTCGGCGTATCTAGATAACCCGTTGTATGTTAAAATATAAAAATAGCTTACCCCATAACTGTCTCCATTTGAATTCCAACTGTCTATTCAATGCTAATTCCTTCTTAACTCTATAATGAACTCTTTGTATGACAGAATTCTCAAAGCCTGCCAACTTTAATAGATATGGTTGAGCACTGGAGTAACCAAATGGATCTATTGACCAGGCATTCTTCGGTATATACTCAAATTGGTCCATAAGCCATTGATGGCCGGCCACAAGTTGCTGTATGATCGAGATCCAATGTGAGTTTGCCTCATCGTTCATAACCCAACCTCCCGTTACTATTTCTAATTGGCCTGATTTCAGTAAGCTGGATGAAAGAAAAGTATTGTTTTAATCTCTTAAATACCATTGCCACAAAAGTACAAGTGAGGGGTATAAAAGCAAATAACTAATAGTGGTAGAGCCCGCTTTAACATCTTACCACGAATGGGCCGGCTCGCCCGGTGTAATACCACGACCACACAGAAGACAGGCGTGAAGTGGAAGCAATTTCGTGTTTCATATGATGAGTGTAGTGTCAGAGGCCTAATTTTTGTCCCTTTCCCTTTCCATCCATTTCTTATGAGGAAAGGATAGGAAGGTAAAGTGGATTTGACGGTGGAGGAGAAGCATACAAATGGGAAGTGTCCTCTTTATGTGCGTCTCCTCATTCTCCGTCGATTAAGGGTAGGCAAAGCATCTGCAATTGCAGATGTTTATGGGAGCGGTTTGCCACCTTACATTATAAAAAAATATGCTTCAGTCACACTTTTTTTAACCAGACATAAAAATTGTATTTAAATTATTCTTACTAATCCTACCAATATTATATATGCGGATGGATGGATGTTTGTTAGAGTTTGTAGCCTAGAGCTGAATGTATGTAAATAAAATTTTGCATAGACATAGAGGATAGTCTACTCATTTGTTTTTTTTACATCCACACAGACAAAGTCCCGGGCGAAAGCTACTAATCTATAATTATAAAAAGAGAAAGAACATATACCTTTGGAATATAGATTTTTCTTTATCAGTAGCGTCAGAATTCCACCACAATGAGAGATAGCTGATCTCAGCCCAGATGAACTTTCTTCCGACACCTTCTACCAACTTTTCCACCATATTTGTAAATATTGCCTTTGTTTGTGTTTTATAATAGTTTTCAAACGTTTTGATCCAACCTATGAAACAAAAATATGGAAATGAAATATTATAAAACAACAGTAATGACTAATGAATTTATATTGTGAACTCATATGTTAGAAAAGAATGTAAAAAGCACATCATGGATTAAATTGTTAGCTTTCGCCCGAGACTCTGTCCATGTGGAATTAATAAAAAATAAGTATCCTGTGTCCTTTCAGACTATCTTCTACATGCCAAAATTTATAAAAAGAAAAGTGCAATGATGTTTACTACATATCTTCCAAATGGCATAATAAAACATAGTTTAGAAGAACATGTACTACTACTTTTTTATTGACTGAATTCCCAAAAGAAGGCAGTACTCAATTCATCTGTATGTTTTTTTCTTTTTTTTAATTACCATGTGAAAGAATCAAAAGCTATGTCACATTTAAGACAGTAAAGATAGACATCCTTTTTTTAAAGTACATTTATACAAAATGATTTTATTACTTGCTGATAGAAGACATTTTGATTGATAAAAGATATTTAAATGAATATTTTTAAGTTATTAGTGTTAAACATACCTGGGTCATTATGTGAATGTGGCACAATAAATACTTTCAATTTGTTTTTCTGATTCCACTGCTCATCTTTATATTCTATATCCCAACCTTGTTTCCACACACCACCATCTTTGTCATCAAACATTATCCTTTCATACATTGACAGCATCTAAAAAATTGTAGACAGCCAGTTAGTACAAAAAATTGGACTGTATTATAGAGGACGAGGCTATTTTGGGATCAAATGATTAATATCATCATCATCAGCCGTTGTCTGCCCACTGTTGGATCCTTCCCTAATACCTTCCACAGAATGTAGTCCTCCGCCTTCCGCATCCAACAACAAATTATTAACATGTCTAAGTTCAAATTGATTTTCCTATTACAGAATTTGAATTAGTAAGTACCAATACACTTTGGCATAGTGTAAAATAGAGAAAACAATGAAACAAGCTACTAAAACATATAAAAACTTTAACTTTTCAAAGGTCAAAAGTGAAAGTCTGAGAATTTATTTACTAGCAATTATATGCAACACACATTTAAATTGTGTTAATAAAAGTAACATTATATTATGGATGGATTAAATGACAGATGTAGAAGAGTATATATTATACTAATTCTCCAGATGTAATTTATTATAAAAAAAATGGTGTAGATTTTTAATTTTAAATAAAAAAAATGTATTACTTGAATATCTGTCTTAGATGTGGCCTGGTTTATAGGACAGGTAGAGGCATTTAACTTTATACGCATTTTAGGTGGCTCATCTCCTACAACTTTGAATTGCCTGATTTTATTCTCTCTTTTTGGTGTTTTTAGTCTTTTTGGTTGTACATAAACCTCATGGGACTTCTCAACAATCTGCTCTACGGCAGTCTTGATTTCACCAACAACTGCATGATGTTCGTTCAACTCTTTTTCCAAGTGCAGTAATTTAGATTCAAAAGATGTCCATTTATTCTGAAAATAAAAATAAAACAATGTTAGGTTGTTATAAACTTTAGTTTTAGAGCTTTATTGTACTTAAATTTTCCGTATACTTACATCAACGTCCACTACAACCGGCTTTATACTTGGCAACTTAAAACTTAAGTCGGTGACAACGTATAAAATAAAAATGAAGGCGATTATACAAGTCGCCCAAAAAACTGCAGACAACCTTCTTATTCTCATTTTTATCGTTAACCAAAAGTACCCGGTAATCAGCAAGAAATAAGTTCATTAAAACTAATGAAGTATTTTGTTTCTGTGAAACTTGTTATCCGAGACCAGTTGTTTATTTTTCTTTATCTCACTAATATTTACGATTTCCTTAGAGATGCAGTTTACAAAATCATGGAAACGTAATTTGTTTTTTTTTTTATGATAAGCGCGAATATTTCATTTTAAAACATATTATTACACCACATCGAAATACGATAACAAATCGGTGCCGACGACACAAAATATCGTGTTCTGACATCTGTCAAGTATGTCAAACATTAAAAACGTATCTATGGTGCCAAAGAAAAAAACAAATGAGTTTATGGCCAGCCAGTATCGGTCAGCCAAAGCTTGCCAAAGCCACGTAAGTTCGCGCCAGAAGGAAGTTGGTACACTGGCTGGGCTGCATTCAAACCCCTCTGTACTGTTTATTACACTCAGGTCCAGGTTTAACAAGGTTTACAAAATGTGACTCTTGTTATAAAGACAAATACAGTACACTATAAGCAAAAACTTGAACTTAAAAGTTAAAAATTTCTATATTTATTTAGGTGAATTTATCTTCAACTTGATGGTGTTCCATATTCGTTGTTGTTTAATTATTACGATAATATTGTACAGTGTAAGGCAATTATGGCTCTTACATCACATCTGATTATTTACACTACAGCGTTAGGTAATCAGACATCAGACCTCTTATTAAAAATCACTGGTATTGAATTACCCTACTTTCTGAAAAGTCAGTCAGAAAATAAATTAGGTTTCTCAAGAATTACGAAGAAACCTACTTGCGGTGTAAATGTGATCTTTTATTTAGATCATCTCATTTAGTTTTAGTTTTAGTCATGAAACGTTATTTTTATAAGTTGTTCTATAGTTTCATGTGACAAAATAAAATATTTCTAAGGTATTGCATTATTTTGTGATAAATCATACGAGGTTTTATTTTATAAAGTACGTAAAAGTATTAAAAGTCGATATAAATATTAGATTATTATTTTAGGATTACTGTACGTGTATCCGATAATTAATGTTATTGATTTTGAATTTGAATGTCAAATTTGAACGTCAAATTGTTTGTGTGCGAAAATGGCGTCTAAGGAATCGCTGGATGTGAGTATTTAGAATTATAACGATAGCATGACAATACCGTGGTGTTTTATGCATTACTTAAAAAGAATTTATTGCAATAAGCCGAACTAAATATTTATGTTCTTGATTAGTACTCCATATATAATTATTAAGCATAAAAGGCCACGCCCTCAGACAGTTTCTAATTTCTTGTTTTTTCTTTGATATCCGAGTATTTAGAAACTTAAATAATATGTGAAAATGTAAAACATTAACAGTATTATTGATTACTTTCATGTATAATTATAAAAATATAACTTTTCATTTAAAAAGATGTCTATAACGTTTTAACGTTTAATTAGATGCGGCAAAATTTGAATGGCTTTTACTGAAAATATTTATCGTTTACACTTAAATATAACTGCCGGTAACTAAATATAATTACTTCCGTATTGATTTTTATATTTATACGTTTTAACTTCAACCCTAAAATCTCTTATAAGAAAGTATTGTGAGGAATATATCTGCTCTTGACTTATTCAAATTATACTCCATAATATGTGTACTTTACGTTTGTACTTTATGTAATTGGCAAAAAATCTTTCTAAGTGTTATTCATCTTATAAAAAGCTAATAAAAACCTAAGAAATTTAAAAAGTTCTTGACAAACCTAAGCTCACACACACACACTTTTATCAGATGTAATTGTCATTGTGATACAAGTTTTAATGATATCAAAAATTTCTTATAAGATGGACAAATTTTGTTTTTTGTTTGTTCAGCATAATATAATACCAGCATTATAATTAAGTCTTACTCAACCCTACACATAATAGTAGCTTTTGTCAATAAATTAATTGTACAAATATTAAATATACTTTTTTCCATTAGTAGGGTTCGGGATTCCACACTTTATATTACAACATAATCTATACTTCTATAATATCTTTACTTAAATATATATATTATAATAAAGCATGAACACACACTACTCTGTTGCCTAAGATGTCAGCAATTACAGCATATTTTTAAATAATTCTTTTTTTAATAAAAAGCCCTACACTTATGTCACACTTTAGGCTATATATTTTCACACCATTAAACTTGGGAGTTAATATTTTGGATAAATACCCTAATATGGGAAAGAGACAATAAGTTGCTACCAACATCAAAAAAGCTAGATTGCTAAGGTTTGTCATGACATATCATTTTGACATTTGATATTGATACTTTGACAAATGTGAACAATAAAATAAAATTTTCATAATTATATGCGGATGAAGTTGCATGGGAACAGCTAATCTTTTATAAAATGATATAATTTGTATGGGTGTTGAAGTGAGTTAGGGATCAACATATTAAAAACATCCCTCTCACACGGGAAATTAACGATCTGAGATATCATTATGTTTTTATAAAGTTTATGTAAAAACTCATGGTTATTTTCCACTCACTAAAAACTAAACAATTTCAGTAACAGTTCAATTGAGTTTGATTTCATTATTTTTTTCCTGGATTAGTTTTAAAAGGAATCTATTATACCAGCTGGTGATGATTTAGACATCTAAGATTTGATAGTGCAGGAGTAGGCTGGTATAGCCTTGCGCGGTGTTTAGCGCGCTTCGATAACGGACCCGACAATTGAATGCATCCGCATTTGTGTCAAAGGACGCAGCACGCGCGCCAAGACGCTGATCCCCGCTCAAGGTTGCCCGATGGAAAACTACGCTTGGGGTCGACACGGCTTTTAAATTTAGAAACAAGTTTTAGAACATTTGAAATTAGAATCTATAACCGAATAGCGTCAATGAGAAAGTTTTTACTGAAATTAACTGCCCTTGTTTAATATTTTATCGTTAGGAGAAACCACGTAAGCAATTTATCGAATTTTAATGACGAGAAATATTTGTACAGTAACAAATCGTATTTATTTAACAACGTATGTCACGTAATAATTACCATAATGACAAAGCATGGTCATTTCTATGTATCTAAATGCCACATACATGAAATGTTAGGTTATGTAAAGTGGCGACTTCACCCATCCCTGCATTCAGACGTGCGTTGCTGAATCAGCGTTTTCAATAGAAGTGCGCACAATGAATTTTCTCTCGTATAACCATCCGGGTAATGCAGATGTTAAATATTTATACATGTTATTAAGTGTAGTAATTTATATAAATGTTTCGTGTTGTGACTGAGTTTCGACTGAACAAATACTTTTATGAAATTCTATTCTCATTTTTTTTGATTAAAAAGAGACAGCAATGAAATCTAATCAAGTATAATGGCAGTGGAATTTCACGGTAAACTACTCGACGGCAGTAACGCCATTGATATGTCAAAAATCATAAACTAAAATTAAATTCTTACGAATATAAACTGGTTATTCTATCTTTTGCTAGAACCTTCCCTATACTATATGAACAATTGGATACTTTGCAAAAGATATTAAACGATAGGTAGATGATGTATTTGCTAAAGAATTTTCCTCAATTGCACGTAAAAATGACTTGAAGAAACCATTACCACATAAACGTTTGAATACATCTGACATACGAATTGAAAGCAATTTCTAAGATTTTATTACAAATGCATCGTAAAACCCTACTATATTCATACCAATAGTATCAATCTCAAGTCGTAAAGTTCCCTAGCGATAATAAATTATAAACCGGAGGCTAAAAGACTGTACTATTAGTACAGCTGTATGTGTGTCGTGGTCTCGTGGGCAGTCTGTCTGTCGGTCTGCAGAGGCTAAGGTCTTGACGCAAATGCCCGCACTTCCGTAGGATGTCTGGAATGAGAGCGTGTCCTAATAAAGACGCAACGCCCGTGGGTTTGTCCCTCTTCACTATTGAAATGAATTGATTATTATAATAATTTCAGTGTGGTATAAAAATCATCTATTTTTATAGTAATTTTGAAATATAAGGTTAGAAAAAGAGAGTACCGTTTTCTTATACAAGTAGCTATAAGTGTCCAAAGACATTTTTTTTTACATTGGCGACAATTTTTGACAATCCAAAAAATGACAGATTTGATAAGTAGTCTTCATTTGGCAGCGATCCACACAACCACTCAACCCTAGTGAATTTTAAACAATATCACATTCTGACAGAGTTATTTCATTTTAATAAATATATTGAATTATTACAATTACGTTTTAGCTCTCGTTACGTTGATACGTTCATAAAATTCGTCAATTTCGTTGTATTAAAAAAAATCGTGAGTGCACTTAGTCGTTACGTCGATTGTAAATTTTAAATTTATGATCAGCTTTCGATCAGTGTTAAATTTTTGGTTTATAGGCTGATAGTTTTAATTTAAACTTACTCTAGTATTTTTTCTTTTAGTTTCAAACACTTGTGAGTAAATATTTGATTATAGCTTGAGTTGTTACTGATTGAATATTCGTGTAAAGAATTTTCCATAATGTCCAAAAGGGAATATGATAAAATCTCAAGTACGTATCGTCGTTCGTTTGAATATTTTATAATGTAATGCAATAAATCCGATATCACGTATCGTCGTGAAGATGGCGGCTGTCTCGTTACATATCTTAATCTTGACATTTTATATTCTGACTCCCTTAATTATATACCTGGGGAGAGGACTTATTTGCAACTTTAATATTATTGCAAAGTAGAGACGTATATAAAGGAAAATGATTTAAAACAATTGCTTCAAAAATTGTTGATTTCTGCTTTTTTGTCATTAAAGTAGTTTTCCATTGTTTAAAGTTTACTTAGTGGCACTAAATTTTTAAGTTTTAAGAGCAAAGTGTTTTACTAAAAACAACGGTCTAAAAGTGTGTTGAGCCAATTTCATCCGGCGTATACAATCATAATTACTATCTTTTTCTTGAAAAACAGTAGATATGTCGTATATTATTTAATTTTTTTATTTCTACAACTTTAGCAAGCAAGTAGATTTTTGGAAATAATTATACTGTAGGATCATAAAATTTTTAAGGTGTTCATCGGTTGACAATTTTACGTAGTAACATTCTAGACAGTTCCATTTTTATCGAGGCCAAAGGGAGCAAAGTTGAAGGCGGTATTGAAGTTTGAAGGATAGAGCTTACTTCAGGCCACACAAGGTCTGTTATGTAACGTTGGAAAATGAGAGACGTAAGTTCAGTTGCGTAATACGATGCGTGCGCCATCTGTCCGCAGACGAGTTGACTGCGGCACAGCGACTGTAATCGACTCAGACAATGAGAATGTTACATCTCTTAAGAGACAATTAACCCTTCGATAGTGTCCAGTGTGACGAACAATTGATTTAAAAAAAATCTACTGAACTAGTTTTCATATCCAAAATATGACTTTACTAAAAAATATTTATTGCTACAAAAACCGTCGAATTCAGGGTTAAGTACCCGTATCATTGAATCGAAATATTACTTCTGGTTGCACCATTGGCCGTTAAATTATGTACAAAATCATAATTCATACATTTGCAGTAAAAAAAAAAATTATATTTTAGTTATTTCGTAGTAGGTAGCCTAATTCTATAATGTTTTTATGATCGATTTTTCTACTAACAGTGTGTTTGTCCAAACACGGTTTGTAATTAAAACATCGTTTGGTTTTAATAACGTAAATAATGATTGGTTTTGGCGTGTCCATGGTAATAACTGGGTTTTGAGTTTTAATTTAGGGCATGTGTAGAATTTACACGATGTAAAAGTATATATGAATAGTAATTTGAAATAAATGAGTTTGAACGAATACATCTATACTTCTATATACTTCTATACTATTATAATAAACCGTAAACACACACCTGTTTGTTGCCTAAGATGTCAGCAATTACAGCATATTTTTGAATAATCCTTTTTTAATAAAAAGCCCTAGACTTACGTAACGCTATATATTTTCACACCATTAAACTTAGGGGCTAAATATTTTGGATAAAAACCCTAATGTGGGAAAGAGACCATAAGTTGCTGCCAACATCAAGAAAGAAAGATTCCTAAGGTTTGTCATGTCATGTCATTTTGACATTTGCAATTGATAATTTGACAAATGTAAACA